CCCGTAGAATAGAGACAGCGCTAGTGTTACCACTTTTTCCACCCGATCTCTAATGCAATCTCTATGTAGAAAAAAGCGAAATATTTTTCGTATTAATTTGCAAAACATTTTTATTATGTAATTTTATTATTTATAATTTAATTAATTATAACTTTTATATAATAAACTATTTATTAAGTATTGAGTTATATGTTAACACTGTATGTAAAACAAAACAAAGCGAGTTTATCATGTGTAGAATAGCAACCAATATCAAATAAATAAATCTACATGTATAATATTTTCACTTTCTGTTATTATTGTAACATGGCAATTTCCTCATAATTTCATTCACATATTACGTGCGCTTATGGTTAGTGTCAATAAATTGTATCTTGGTGGTGGGCCAAAATATTCCTCGTGATAAATATTGACAATATTTTAATATAATTTGTATGCCTGTCATGTATTATGAAATATTCTATCACGTTATAATTAATATTTATATACATTATGCCCAATGAACTGGAAAATTGTCATTGCTCAATCACCGCACAGTGATTGGCGCAAATATTAGCGATCACCTTCATGCAGAATTACCACTCACACAAAGTGATCATCAGGTTTTTACGCCAATACCCAAAACACACAGTGCTTTTTGCCAGACATACAAGTCATATGAGTTGGATGTGTGCATAACATTACTACTTGTATACCATATGTCATGCATATAAACCGCAACACAATTTCAATTGTCACGATGACATTGGATGAGATGTGCTATACATCGTGTGTATTAATAGCCCCTAAACAAAGAAACTTCGCCAGCCCTCGTGCAATTCACATTGATATATTCTCGATTTTATATTTATAATGTACCATTACAAAATACATATTTCTCAATACACCATATATAATTACCATTATTAATACAAAACTCTCCCATATACAAATAACTATACAAAACACCTACACTAAATAGTTTTCTTACGATGGCATTGACACTTACGCTGCACCAAACAAGCCATCATCACATCACACTTAAGTTAAAGCTAAACAAAAATATTGTAGTTAGGGTAATTTATTAGGGCTTTATGCATTGGTAAAAATGTGTATGCTCTCTATAATCTATCACACGCACCACCACCTTGGTGATTATCAACAGAATAAACATATTTTTTTAGGCGGTATGTATATTACGATATCGGGTGTAATCAACCGATACAGCATATTGTAAACGGTTCTAATAGTGAACGCACAATAAATGTACGCTTTATGTAATTAAAAAGTCTAAAGTAAGTGGAAAAGTACTACATATTTCGCCTCATGTTAGATATAAAAATGTACCATATCAAAATATCATACATGTATAAAAATTATTAATAGTAATGTAGTGTTTGGATGACTCCCAGACTTTAACCACACAAAATCTGTTTCCCAGTCATTGGCAATGCATTCAATGCATACGTCATGTGCTGAGTCCGGGGGCACTGAAAGGGGTAAACACTATTCAGTAACGCCGATTGCGGCCAACGCTCGCACTAAAGTTACGTTCAATTCAATGCACTTAAGCCTTGTTTTCAACACGTGAAGCGCTAGTAGTGAGTGGTCTGGCATTTATTGCAAAGCTTTGCAAATAATTTAAAACTATTTACTACTCCCGCTATAAATTGATTCGCGCAAACATATTGTGAAATAAATTAGTCAAATATACATAATAAGATGATCTAGCTATAAGATAAGCCTATAATGCTAGCAATAACATACATAAACCAAGATTATTTAAAAACCACTCATAGATGGTATAAACTGGTGCGTACAGACTGTACACCAAAACGTCAGTAGAGAGTATTAGAAAAAAAATCTGCAGTCATTGTATGAGTGGTTGCAAAATAACAGTGGCTTTAAATAACAACACAGTATTGACTGAGTATTGCGTATAGAAATATATAGTGAACAGCACTGGAAAAAAATAATAGCACAGCAGTAGTAGTGCTAAAATAGTACAGTAAGAGTGCACTGCTTTTTGCGTATAGTCAGTGTATTTTTCAGTTCACATTCAGTGTATTATTATTACAGACTTTAGTAATAATAATCATAATAATCGCTAATTACGCTAATCATAGGATTAATCGTAGGTTTATTTTGCATCATAATTACCATCATTGAGTGTTGAACTGATTAATCACTAAATGCAATATAAATGGTGTGAATTGTGTACTGATCAAAATGACCAAGTGCGAAATGTGAGCTCAATATTACGTTATATTTACCATCTTCATCATCATTCGCCACAATTATGTGCTTATTATAATAATTGATATTTATTTGTGTGGTTAACATAATTTAGTTATTATTATTATTTTTTATTTGTGGTAGTCTTATAAAAATCATATGATTTTCATGTAATCATTATTACAGCCCTTTAGTGTGCATTTCAGTGTTGTCTGTGGGCTATATTACCAGCGATAGAGTGTATCGTGTTATGTCTGTATCCAAACACAAACATAACCCTAATTATGATTAATTAATAATAATTAATTATAACTATTAAATACTAGTTCACTATAAATACCCCATTCACTAGTTATGAGTAATCAATTATATTGTGTAACAAAACACATAATAAAATGATATCTTATTATTTGTTTATGTTTACGTATTTGTGATAAAAAGTTAATTATATATAACTAATTAAAACCAATTTAATAATAATTATAATTAATAAATACCATGTTGACCATCGCTATTCAACAGCCAAAGTAACCATAGTTTTGATTATAAAAGCAATTTATAAAACATAATAATTACAAAACAAAAAGTGAACTATATTTTCGTTGCGTTAAATAACATAATATTTTTATTATAATTAGTTAATAATAGTTAATAAAAATAAATTAATTAGTTATAGACATCACAAGTGATTTCCCATACGTTTAAATCAATACCACATATAAAGCGTTGCTTTCATTATTTGCAACAACCCTTTGGTTAACGTATTATTGCTATTATTGGTATGCATTGCATAATACACTCAATCAAGTACTCAATTAAATCATCAAATTGTTTGTCAATTAGTGTCCAGTATATAGAGAAGTCACCCTCGGATCAGATGTGGACAACAGTACAGACTCGCCGTTAAAGCAATCACTTGTTACCCAATCCCCACCCGCCATATCGCACGAGTGGCACCCGAGGCAAGTGCTGACCACTGATTGGTTGGTTGAGTGATATCTCGCTCGTGGATCAGACAAACAGAGCCGAAGATGTCTGAAGTGGATCCCGAGACACTGCTGGAGTGGCTGTCAATGGGCAGCGGCGACGAGCGGGACATGCAGTTGATTGCGTTGGAACAGCTCTGTATGCTGTTATTGATGTCCGATAACGTGGACCGATGTTTCGAAAGGTATGATTATCACCACCACTACCACCGCAGCCAACCATTCCCTTCCCTCTATTGTCCCTCTGTTTCTGGGATCAGATATACTGCCCACTCCTTTAAGATATAAATGGTGTCAACTGATACTCACTTCTGTTCCTCACTATAAGACATTTTGCCTTTTAAATCCAATCTCAAGCCATACCTACTGTTAATTCACGTATAGTTTAGTCTTAAGGGGTTTTGCTTTGGATATCTGTTGAACAAATTGATGCCAAATAGTGATAGATTGAGACAACAATCTCTTTAATACCTAATTAAACCCTAAAACCGTACCTTTTAATGAGTGAAATATGAGCGCTAATTCTGTGATCATTTAATCCGGTGACCAGTTGTCCTCCGCGAACATTCCTCCCGGCCTTATGTCGCATATTTCTGGACGAGTGCGCGCCCGACAACGTGCTGGAAGTGACCGCTCGAGCCATCACCTACTACTTGGACGTGTCGGCCGAATGCACGCGCCGTATAGTCGCAGTCGACGGCACCATCAAAGCGATGTGCAATCGGCTGATTGTGGCCGACGTGACCGCCCGCACGAGCAAAGACTTGGCCGAACAGTGTATCAAAGTGTTGGAGTTGATCTGCACCCGAGAGGCCGGCGCCGTATTCGAGGCGAGCGGCTTGAACTGCGTGCTGGCGTTCATCCGCGACAACGGCCATCACGTCCACAAAGACACACTACACTCGGCGATGGCAGTGGTCTCGAGACTGTGCGGCAAAATGGAGCCAAACGATCAGTCGCTCAACACATGTGTCGACTCCCTGTCCGTACTTCTTAAGCACGAAGACTCACACGTGGCCGACGGCGCGCTCAAGTGTTTCGCCTCACTCGCCGATCGGTTCACCCGCCGGGGCATAGATCCGGCCCCTCTGGCCGCGCACGGGCTCATCGATAACCTTCTGATGCGCTTGTCTTCTATCGCCAACCCTATTGGCGCCGGCGGTCATCATCTCTCCGCCTCCACCGGACTGTCGATACCATCGCCGCAGGCGATCGTCACCGGAACGCCCGACACGAAGACTCCGTCATCCGTGTCCACCGTAATTAGTTTGCTATCAACACTGTGTCGCGGTTCGCCACAAATCACACACAACCTCTTGCGCTCTTCTCTGTCCGATGCCATCAAATGCTCGCTTTTGGGTTCGTTTAAGACATTACTGATGACTTGTAACTGATTTGTTGACTAAACTCTTTGCATATCTGATTCATTAGGTGACGAACGATGCGTATTAGACACCATGCGTTTGGTAGACCTCCTGCTAGTGCTGCTATTCGAGGGCCGCCGAGCGCTGCCCAAGTCTGTGATGAGCGCCTCCTCGTCCCTAAACCCGTCCCGTTTGCCCTCATTTCGCCGATTGGATCGCTTGGACTCCGCGGGTGAGCGCACACACCGGCAACTCATTGACTGCATCCGCAGCAAAGACACGGACGCCCTCATCGACGCCATCGACTCGGGCGGAGTCGAAGTGAACTTCATGGACGACGTCGGCCAGACTCTGTTGAACTGGGCGTCCGCTTTCGGCACCCAAGAGATGGTAGAGTTCCTGTGCGATAGGGGGGCGGACGTGAACCGCGGCCAACGCAGCTCATCGTTGCACTACGCGGCCTGCTTTGGGCGCCCGAATGTGGTCAAAGTCCTCCTCAGACACGGCGCCAATCCCGACCTCCGCGACGAAGACGGCAAGACTCCGCTCGATAAGGCCCGCGAGCGTAGCGACGAAGGCCACCGCGAAGTGGCCGCTATCCTACAGACGCCCGGCGAGTGGATGACCAGCGCAACCGCTTCTGTGGGCTCTGTTGCCGAGTCGCCGAAGAGCGCTGGCATCGCTAGTGGTGGCGGTGGCGGCTGTACTGGGATTGGCATCGATATCAAACACGACGATCCCGAAGACTTGTCCCCCGGCCTCTACGGCGATCCCGAGATGTCGCCGCTATATCTGCAGCGATTGTTACCCATGTTTTGTCACACATTTCAAAACACAATGATCCGTACGGTTCGCAAGTCGTCGCTGAATTTGATCCGCAAAATGACTCATTACATTCAAGCGGAACAGATGCCGGCGCTCAACGAATCCGCGCCCGCACTGGCCATACAGTTGGTCGAAGTGATTGCTAACGTGTTGGACACCGACGAAGACGACGACTGTTACTTCATTGCGCTGCAAATGATCACTGATCTGATGACCAAAGGGGCGGCCATTTTCTTGGATACCTTCGCCCGACTCGGAGTGATGAACAAAGTGCAGGCATTGGCGGGACAGTCCGCCCAGACCTCAGCCGACGACGATTTGATTGAGAAGAAAGGCGACGGCGACGACGTGGCGGACGGCGATCCGTCCAACGAAGACGCCCGCGAACTGATCGCCGGCCGTCCCTTTCATTGGCGCGATTGGAGTTGCGTTCGCGGCCGCGATTGCCTCTATCTATGGTCCGATTCCGCAGCGCTCGAGTTGTCCAACGGTTCTAACGGTTGGTTTCGATTCATTTTGGACGGAAAGTTGGCCACAATGTACTCCTCGGGTTCGCCAGAGGGCGGAACCGATAGCAACGAGAATCGCGGCGAGTTCTTGGAAAAGTTGCAACGGGCGAGGGCTCAGGTGAAGCCCGGAATGGTGTCGCAGTCGTTCCTGAGCACCGCCGGACCCTCTCGGCTAACGGTCGGCAATTGGACTCTTCAGTGTCGACGCGACGGCGAGATTACCGTCAGTAACAGCGACGGCGCCCAACAGTCGACAATATTGCGCGAAGATTTGGCCGGTTTTGTATTCGAGTCGAATCGCGGAACGAAACACTCGTTCACCGCCGAGACCTCACTCGGGCCGGAGTTCTCGTCGACGTGGTTGGGACGACGCGGCAAACGATTGCGCTCTAAACTCGAGGCATTGAAGGCCAAAGTCCGCACTCAGGCTAAAGAGATCTACGAGACCTACTTCAAGACAGCGCAGGCCACGCCCCGCTCAACGGTGGCCAAACTGGCCAACATTGTGGCACAGATTGAACGCGTGTCCGAACAGAGGACACACTCGCGGCGCAGTCACGGCCACGACTGGAAAGTCAATTTGGAGACCGCGTTGAAAGAGTTGACACATTTGTTAAGAGACGAGAAGTGTGTCTCCGCCTACGAGATCCACTCGTCTGGCTTAGTGCAGGCCCTCCTGCGCCTCCTGTACCGCAATCAGCACCAGTTCTCGTGGACAAACACGGGCTCATCCGACCGGCTGCTGAAGGACAAGGCGGATGTGTTCAAGAATGTGATTGGTGTGGAACACACGGCCACTGCGCTCATCAAGAAGTTGGTGTCTGTGCTCGAGTCCATCGAGAAACTGCCGGTCTATCTGTACGACTCGCCCGGTTCTGGTTATGGCCTACAAATACTCACCCGTCGGCTCCGGTTCCGACTGGAAAAAGCGCCCGGAGAGTCGACACTCATCGACAGGTCCGGCCGGTGCCTCAAAACGGAACCGTTGACTACTGTCGCCCAATTGGAGAAGTACTTGATTAAAATGGTGGCAAAACAATGGTCAGTATCACTGATTTTGTGATTTATTTATACAGCCATTTATCTCATTGAATACTAAATAAATTGATCCGTTATCTCAGGTATGACTTTGAGAGGTCTTCGTTCGCATTCGTTAAGAAACTCAAAACACTCAACACTAGAATCCGTTTCACTCACGAGCGAGACTTCGACACAAATGGTGTGATCTATTGGATCGGCACTAATGGCGGCACAACTGCCGAATGGGTGAATCCGGCGCACGTCGGCCTCGTTATGGTCACGTCGTCTGAGGGGAAGAATTTACCGTACGGTCGACTCGAGGACATCCTTAACCGCGACTCATCGGCACTCAATTGCCACACAAACGATGATAAGAAGGCCTGGTTTGCCATTGATTTAGGTATGAGATAATGATTGTGATACTGCGCTCATCAAGAAGTTGGTGTCTGTGCTCGAGTCCATCGAGAAACTGCCGGTCTATCTGTACGACTCGCCCGGTTCTGGTTATGGCCTACAAATACTCACCCGTCGGCTCCGGTTCCGACTGGAGAAAGCGCCCGGAGAGTCGACACTCATCGACAGGTCCGGCCGGTGTCTCAAAACGGAACCGTTGACTACTGTCGCCCAATTGGAAAAGTATTTGATTAAAATGGTGGCAAAACAATGGTCAGTATCACTGATTTTGTGGTTTATTCATACAGCCATTTATCTCATTGAATACTAAATAAATTGGTCCGTTATCTCAGGTATGACTTCGAGAGGTCTTCGTTTGCATTCGTTAAGAAACTCAAAACACTCAACACTAGAATCCGTTTCACTCACGAGCGAGACTTCGACACAAATGGTGTGATCTATTGGATCGGCACTAATGGCGGCACAACCGCCGAATGGGTGAATCCGGCGCACGTCGGCCTCGTTATGGTCACGTCGTCTGAGGGTAAGAATTTACCGTACGGTCGACTCGAGGACATCCTTAACCGCGACTCATCGGCACTCAATTGCCACACAAACGACGACAAGAAGGCCTGGTTTGCCATTGATTTAGGTATGAGATAATGATTGTGATAAATGGTTACACCGTTTGCTTATAATCTCTAACTATGCCATCAATAGGCTTGTGGCTAAAGGGCAGCAGTATATGCGATTCTGTGCGGGCGCCCATGCCGGCCAGCCGAGAAGCGTTAACCGAGAAAGTCCACAGGTTTCTGCCGTTATTAACCTGCTGTGATATGTGTGTATCGCTGCTAACAAGGCTGAACGAACCGGGCTCTACCGCTTCTTGGAATTTAACGGTTCCCGGCGATGAGAAACAGGGTTTGTATTTCATTCATTGGGATCAGAATCCAAACGATTATTGAATCGCTAATTTGTATGTCTCTTTGATGGTTAGGTTGGCGTCACATTCGGGTACAACAGTCGGGAAAGAACGCCTCCGGACAGACCCACTATCTATCGTTGTCCGGCTTCGAGATCTACGGCACAGTCACCGGAGTGTGCGATGATTTGGGCCGCGCGGCCAAAGAGGCCGAAGCGAATCTGCGCCGTCAGCGGCGACACGTGCGGCAACAGCTCAGGCATATGGTGGTGAACGCACGCGTGACCAGAGGTCCCGATTGGAAGTGGCGCGATCAGGACGGGGCACCCATTGGCGAAGGTATGTATCCGTGTATATAGTTGTGATTGTTATTCATTTAATGATAACTGTTTTGTTGTGATCGTAGGTTTAATTACGGGTGAATTGCATAACGGGTGGATTGATGTCCAGTGGGATCACGGGGGCAGCAATTCCTATAGAATGGGCGCAGAAGGCAAGTACGACCTGCGTCTGGCGCCCAACTTTGATCCCGATATGGTGGTGAAGTCGGCAACATTGCCCACATTAACCACATTAACTCAACAGCTATCGCCGACCATCGCTCCGGTGGCCATAACAAACACTACCGACACTATAGCGGCCAAGGGGTTGGTCTCGACGCCCAACACTATGTTTCCCGGTATGTGTTCGCCGACTGTTTCACATATTAATTAATTTTTTTCCTAATTTATAACTAATTATTATTTTAAATCATGTGTCGATATAAAGGTCGCAAATCGAGCTCTACCTCGAGTCTGTTGGAGCCGTCCTCGTCATCGAACAGCCGCATAACACAGCGCACGTGACTTGTCCGGAGCAGACGGCTGAGCGACCAGCGGGCGTTCCGATACTAGCGGCCGTCAGAGTGCGCAAGCCGGCCGCTGAGTAGCGATACGCTAGCGTTCTCGTTGCTCTTACACCTGGCCGTCGGTCTGTCGCCCACTCAAGAGGAAACGGAAGAGCTGTTGGCCGAGAATGAAAGGCCCGGCACTCCCACACCAGCCCTCAACGAAGAGCACCAGCGCCGCAGCTCTTCCAGCGCTACCATCAAACTGGTGGACCACTCGTCGTCCGCCGCCTCCTCTCACTCACACATCCGTTCAAACAATCAGACAAACAATATGTCAGTTTCGGTACCGAATCTTTCGCTCAACACAATTAACGTCAACGACTCAACTGTCGGAATACTGGACGCGTTCGCGTCGGCCGCAGCCGCCCGGCGCCGCACCGCTCACTCAAACTCGCAAAACAACTCGACTAACGCTACAAACAATGCCAATACCGCGGCCACAGCCGGCGGCGGAGGCCCTAATAGTAATTCACTGCTCTCTCGCGGATCAAACAATGTCTGCAATTTAGTGCGAATGGC